ACGTACGACGTACGTACGTACGTACGTACGTACGTACCGTACGTACGTACGTACGTACGTTACGTTACGTTCGTTCGTTCGTTCGTTCGTCGTCGTACGAGAGAGAGAGAGAGAGAGAGAGAGAGAGAGAGAGAGTAGGGCTGTTAACCTCGTTTCTATCTATTTTGATGAGTAGGTTCTCATAGAATCCATGTTACTGAGATGATCATGTGCTGCTTAAGTTTCATGAAAGCATTCCTTTGTTTTTCTATGGATCGGTAACTGCTTGCAAAGTTTAATGAAAACATTCCTTTGTTTTTCTATAGTTCAGTAAGATAACTTAGATTCTGATATTACGGACGCTTGATTTTGTTCTGCACTGCTTCAGGACCAACGCTGAGCTCGGGCATGTGCACAGAGGTCTTCCAGTTTGAAGTGAACACAACCATAATCCCGAAAACGCCCTCTTCAAAGGCTCGCAATTCTTCCGAGAACTCACTTTCAAAGAACAGGCGGTTCTTGTACCATGATGCTATACCCCTGCCTGGCAAGACTGTCCTCAATGAAACAGGGGAGAGTTGGGGTAAGAGAGAAAAAGGAGAGGAGAGAGAAATTAAGCCCGGAATGGTGGTTTCGGTTTTGGTGGACCCAAGAGAGGCCAATGACGATTCCGTGGGCCCACCAAGCAAGAGGTTAGGGCGTGTATTTGTTGTGGTTTTGATAGACAGCATCAAGTATGTGACTTACTCTTGTGTGGTGCCGGGACCAAAGGGATCCAAGCCTCACCTGGTTACCAGGTGAGTGGAGTGGGTTGGTTTTGTAGAGAGAGAGAGAGAGATCTAACCTGCAGCATAGGTGTTTGGAGCAATTTGCCTTGTGCCCTTTTGTGAGATCAAACTCTGTGCTTACTAATCAAAATGAACAATAGTGTACTAAGCTCAACTCTTAGTACTGTGTTCATATAATCAAATATATAGATTTATGGTGATGGCTCTTTTTTTTGTTCTATTTTATATTTGGAAAAGAAATCGGTGGGGCGGTTCACTCACTCCCTGGTTTTTGAGGGATTTGAGCCCCGAAATATATTTCCAGTTGTTGTAGTTCTATTTCTATCTCCTATTCATGAATTAGATGGTTTTATGTGATTATCGTATACTAATGAAGCTGAAGGGAAAATTCTATTGGACAATTGTGTTCTTGTTTATGAGGCGTAATGTTGGACGGTTAAGAAACAACATATTTGTAGTTGAGATGAGGATGTTGAGATGGATGAAAAGTAAGAGAAAAAGGAATAGAATTTGAGACGAACACACATTCCGAAGAATTTAGGTGTCCCAATAGGTGAAAAGTTAGAAAAAGTAGGCTTAGGTAGATTGACTATGTGCGGCAAAGGGCGAATTTAACATTTGTTAGAAGGTGTGAATTGGTTCGAGTAGAAGACTCAAAAAAGGAAGTGATATGTCCAAGAGGATTTTTTTTTAAAGTAGTGATGAAAAAAATATGAGGATTTATGATCTTATTGAGAGTATGACTTTTAATAGGACAGAATGACATATCAAAATTTGTGCAGTTAATTTTAAATAATTGGGTGAATTTAAATGATTGGGTGTAGAAGAAAAAAAAGAAATGATGATGATGATTTATGAATTATCTTCAAAAGGTTTGTTGATATTTATAGTATTAAGACAGGGTTTGTTGATATTTAAAGTATTAAGACGAATGGTATTGACAAAGAACAAAACAAATTAGTGGTAGGGATCCATATTCAATTTTTCTTTTCTTTCAAATTTATGATTGTGGTGGTTTAGATAATATTAATATGCCTTAAAAATTCGGATCCAAAATTTATTTCTCATACAGTTTCAAGGGGTTAAATGAATGTTGTAGGGTAGACTGTGACATGGGCCTCTCATCTAGACTATAAACATGCAAAATTTTTGGTCCAAAATGCACATTGAGAATGATTTTGCCAATTTGCTCGTGGTAAATGTCTATAAGAGAGAGCATGCGTATGAGTGTTGTATAAGCGAGCAATGAAGGCTGTAATGGAATTGAGTGGTTAGCGGCTTATGTTTAACTAGGGGTGACAACGGGTTAGGTTCAGCTCCGGACCCATACCTGAAAATAAAATTATGGTACTCGGACCTGACCCGATTTGAAGTTATCGGATTTGGATCTAGACCTGAATGGACTCGGACCCAGACCCGACTCCAAAAAAGTAAAATAAAAAAATTAAATTTATTTAAATGTTAAATATATACATGTATTATTTAAATATTTAATTAAAAATATATAATTATATTTATTTAAGTATTAATTAAATATTATATAATAACACTAATCGGATCGGGTCCGGATCAAGCCCACATTGACCTAGACCAGGTCCACATTGACCCGGACCCATACCAAATATGAGTCCAATTTTTGGACCCATACCCAAACCCGATATCGGTCCGGACGTCTGGTACGGATCAATTGACACCCTTATGTTTAGCCGCACTACATCATAAATTCAATTCTCATCGCTGAACCACCTAAAAATCTCAAATACCATGCAAATTGTTTTAGGAATTTTGCAATAGAAACTACAAAAGGTCCTGTTAGAATGTACTTGAGAGGGAGATTGATTATAAACTATCGAAAATTAAATAGATGTAATTAACATTGTTTGGATCAATTGAAATTGACTCTTCTCAATCGATTTCAAATTGGGCTGTTTGAGTTGTGTTACGAAATTTGAAAAAACTTCCTTCGAATTTTGAACTAAGTTAATGGCACACTCACAATAATCAAGTAATCAAGTTTGAAATTCGAAAGACAAAAATGATTGTGACCTTTTTGAATCAAATGTAAATAATCACTTTATATATATTTTTTTATTTTATTAACGAAATACATACAGAGAGAGAGAGTGTCACTGTAATAAAAGAAGGATTATTAAGTGGAGTGTGTTTCCAATTTCGAATTGGAAGATACATAACATGTATAAAATTATCATAACACCACTCTTTTATAAACTGAAATAAATTTGATATTCTCAGTTTTTCTGAAAGCTGATAACCTCCCCAAATTTACATAAAATTTCTTCGTCTAGGATATCATTTAGGTAATATTATTGTAGTTTACAAACATCTCTCTACTGTAGAAGTCTCTCCCTTGCAAAATATTTTGGTGGGTTTTGTAACCATCCACAAAGGGAAAGTCTCACCCCATCTACATCATTTTCAATGTTTAGATTGACCAAGGTCATATCCAAAGACCAAAAAATAATCTTATTTTTATTTTTGTTCTTTAATTTAAAACTAACTTTACCTGAAATTTGGGAAGTAAATCATTTGGCATACTAAATAAAAATACTAAAAAATATTTTGAACAAGAAAATTTTCCAAAATACACCTAAAACAGTCAAGGGTATTTGGTTTATTTTTTTGTTGAAAATAACTTTTATTATTTTATTTGGAAATAAATTTACTCCCCAAATTTCAAGTAAAAATAAAAATAAAAAGTGGCATTACTTTGTAGCCCTTAGATAAGGCTAGGTTCAATCTGAATCCGTCCATCTCATGTGAATGCTATACCATCCCTTTGGCAAACATAAAGTCTTCACATGCATCTTACAAAATGTTTTGTGGGTTTAGGCCAATATAAATCCTTCATGAAATTTACGAACCTGAAAATTTCTCCGAGCAAACCCTTTGATAATGATTTGAAGGTTATTTCATAGTTACTGTTTTTCTCTAGTGTGGTACTTGTTTCCCTATATTGTGGTATCCTTGTTCCCTTTCTTTTTGGTACATAATGGAGTAACAAATGCAAAAGGAGACCCTTCAAAAACTCAGCCAATGTTGAAATTAAGTACTCTATAAATTCTTTGCATTTTCCTTTTTCACTTTTCTTGTTTTTGAGATTATATTCTGAAAGAATCGAGCATGGCCTCCAGCGTTTTCTGCGAGGTTGGCCACTGTTTGTCGTTGGCGCTCGCCACAAACAATACAACTGTGTTCCCCTTTGCTGTGGCTTTCGCGAGATTGTGTGATCCCGTCAATGCATACGGTGTCTCCAATTTATAAGTGTAATACTGCATGAGCATACAAACACTTATTTCTTAGGATTTTTATTTCTTAGGATTTTTTTATCATCATCATCCGAGACTTATCCCAATTATTTTGGGTTGGCTATATTTCAAGATTTCATCTAGCATAAAAATTATGATAAGATGTTAATGGAGTATATTTATAGCTAGCCAATGATACGTCTGTTGCAACATGGTGTAGTTTAAATACAAAATCTTTCTCACTGTTGAACTTTCTTGCTAGTTTTTGTCTGCCATGGCTTTAGCATACAATTGTAACTGGTGCTTTAATTTAGGTTCTAGATATGCATTTTTAACAGTAATCTAGATAGGAGATACTCATGGAGCAGGTAGATTGTTTTTAAGAAAGGGAGCTAAGTCTTTCAAAGCAAAAGACACTATATCAATTGGTTGGTGACTCTCTCTTCTCGTTGTTCTATTCGATAGGGCTGACGAGTCATTATCAAAGAAGCAGCAACAAACAACCCACAACTGCTTGATCTTCCATGGAGATGGCTTACATATGTGCAATTAAACCAATTGTTTCAATACATTCTTGTGAGAGTAGTGTTTAAAAAGTCATACATTCTTGTGAGAGTAGTGTTTAAAAAGTCAATACATTCTTGTGAGAGTAGTCCTCCAGGTTTGGCTTGGTCGGGTCTGAGTTGGTCCAGTTGTCCGAGTCAGACAGGACAATCTTTAACCAGAAAAATTTTAAGATTATGAGAAAATTGGGAAACTTCAGCGATTCCAGAGTTTTTTGACCTAGAATCGTCTGTCTCCTGATCTAGGACAACTTGGGCAAGAGTCATGTTGGCCAGGAGATTTTTTAAGCACTGTGAGAGAGCCACCAGATAATATAGTATTGAGTGTCAATACCATGTTGATCTTAAGTGCAAGAATCATATCTATGGATCACCATCATTCGGTTCGCAAGAGTGGCATGTTAGTTTTACATGGTTAAGGTAGAGATCACATAGTGGAGAGGAGAGGTGTTTGTGAGAATCAATATGAACTTCACATGGTGAAGTAAAAAGAAACACCAAACAGTTAGCACAAACATAGGCATTCCTCATGTATGCTTGAAACCAGATATAGGTCATGGCTTTATGTCTTTGTCTCATGGTAAGGAACATCAATCAAAATTCTGAGTGTAATACAAAGATTGATAAGAAATGTTCAAGCCAGTAAAGAGATAGAACTATGGGTTAAATTCACAACCTGGCCCAATGTGCATGTGTATTTTAAGCACGTCAACAAATCAATGAAACTCATAAAGCTCTTTCTTCCAAGCTACCATAAGGTTAGTGGACATTCCCTCACTAATAAAGTACTAGAGAAGCTTGTCGACTAAACTTTCTCTTAAACCATACTTCACCTTAATTTTGAAAAATATCCGAAGTGTGAAACTGTTGAAGATAAGAAAAGACCAAGTCAAATTACTTGATCATCAAGTTAGTTATTGGAGATAGAGGTAAATGATAGGAGGCCTTATCACCCATAACTAACTTGATGATCAAGTAAATCTTAACAGAAACAAACTGAAAAAATTTCGAAGTTGTTTTCAAACTCCCTTATAGCACTAAAGGTAGCTTTGCATCATCGTTTCATGGTAAGAAGCATCAGCTAAATAATCCATATCGATGGGGGCAAAATACAGAGCCAGGGCTACATATGCAATAGAGATATCAAGCACTGATTTCTTCAGTAGAGAGTGATATTACTGAGTTTCTCACCTTTTGTTGGGATAATCACTAGTCATGAGGCTCTAGAAAACTAGCACTAGGCATGTTAAGATTCACTTTGTATAAGGGAGTAAAATTATCCTTTGTCTTCTAATATTATTTCTATTTAACCTTGTAGAGGCTAATCTTATCAACTATCCACGGCTGTGATTGTATTTGCAATAAATTTCAAGAAATCATTGGGACCTTTCCAAATTATTTCACATTAAGAATGCGTACCGTTTGGCCATCGATGTTCTTCATATTGCTCTCGATGAGTTCATCAGGGTCATAGCTATTGCCAGTGACAAAGGGCCCAAGAGAAGCAATAACCTTTTCAGGGCTCCCAATCTCTTCAATAGAGGCATTCAACTTGTTGGTGAGTCTAATGAGAGGTGCAGCCACAACCTGAACTTTCCCTTGCTTCTCGTCCTCGAATTTTACCTCCACCCATGGCTCAGCACACTTGGGTTGGCAATAGTTGCCGGATAGTATGTTTGCAATTCGAGTTTGTTTCCATGAAGGCGGTAGAATAAACTGGTACGGTTCTACATTTCCTGCAATTAACGACAAAACTTACTGTTTTAACACAAGAGTGACTGGTTAATGCTAGAAACTGGTAAGGTTGTACATTTGTTGCAATTAACGACAAAACTTCATGTTTTAACACAATTGTGACTGGTTAATGATAGAAAATTGCAGACATTAGGGGAAACAGCCGAGTAATTGTGGAAATTTTACACAAGTTTGATTTTTATGCCTAAGGTTTGCCCAGGCATTCTTTAAGGAAATAGTTACTTGATAGGAAAACAGAGACCTGGACGCATGGTAGCTTAAATTGGAGCTCACATGAGAGCTCAAAACCTGATTTTGCTAGAAATATGGTGAGAATTTAATCTTATATATGGCCATAAACAGTCTTTTTGTTCACCCAATATCATAAAAAAACCACGTCTGTCCCATTAGACTATAACTTATCACAAAAACAGAATTCAGCTCAAAATTTGGACCATAACTCAGTGGGAAAATCCAACTCTTATTTTCTGTTCACAAAAATTCCAAATCCCAACTCATTGTTATCTCATTACACATGATGACTGCTAAATTTCGGTCTGCGAGGTTTCAAACTGTAACTATTCTCCAAGAATCAAATCCAACAAGAAAAGACACATTCAAAGTTTGTAGTACTTCAAGCAATTACCTAAAAGAGTTTGCAAGCGACTCAGCCGCAACCTAAAAATTTACATTAAAATCATAAAACATTACATTAAAATCATGAGAACCAACCGAATTGGCCAGTTCCCATGGTTTTGTGCTTCCATACTTGGCAGCAATCTCAGTGACTTGGGCAAGTCAGAGTCCAAATTGCTGAATTTTCAGAACACTGAAAGAAAATAATATACCAGCGCGAAGAGCTGGCGTATCCTTGGTGGTGGCCTTGAAAACAACAAAGGAAGAGTCCGAATCTAATGGAGGCAAGTATGATCCCACCTGAACCTCTCTGGCCTCACAATCCACTGGCCTCTTAGCCAATATCCAAAGCAATGCCAGTCCTTTAAACAGGTTTCGTCGACTCCATTGTTCGTGCATCGAAGTATACCATATTTCTCTTGATTTCGGAGCAATGGAGGAAGAATTCAGGGTTTCTGAGCTCCCACTGATCTGATCCCTTATGTTTCTTGAACTTGCAGCAATTGAAGAAGGTTTGAGGCCTAGAGGTCGAAAATTTTCACAGTTTTTCTTTGAATTTGCTTCAATAGGACACGGGTTATGGGTCTTTCGATGAATAATTAAGTCTGTGGTAGAAATTGGGGTAAAATAACTGGAAGAAATTGGAGTTGCAGAGCAGGTCGCCATTAATGAAATGAAAGCTTGATGAGCAAAAAGAAGCGGGTAGTTCAAATGACCAAGCTCTCCGGTCCTCATCCACGAAGGGTATTTTCTTGGATAAGAGTAGTTAAGGAAATGCCCTCTGATTTGGCGTAAATTTCCAAATGCCTTTGCCTTGTTATATGGGAGTTTTTTCACGTTAGATAGTGCGAGCATATTTTTTATAACTATTTGATATGAAAAACCTTTCATACAAATATATTATATGAAGGAATCTTTTCACGTGAAAGTTTTACATAATTATTTTCATGCGTATCAAATGTGCTCTAACTTGGGACATAGTTTACGGGTTACGGCTTATATGTAGAAATGAGTACCGTCTTAAAAATCTATTTCTGAAACGGATTTTGGACTTAATTTTAAAGAAATATATAATCTCTAACATGGAGATTATGAATATGTAAAAAAATAAAATTTAAAACTCAAAATAATAATTTATAAAGAAAATATTTAGACCATTGGTTTAGATTTTGTTTTATAGAGACCACCCATTTGCATCTATCTTTAAGATCGGTGTTTTATGCCCTGGGAGGATGCAAATGTAAAACCTCTGTAAAATATAGCTCAAAATATAGATGATACAGTAATAACATATATATTTACAAGTTTATATATAAATTTGTCATTAAAAATATCAAAAAGTTCTTATAATGTATAGATAAGATGGACCTAAAAAATCCATTAGTGATTCCTATATTAGAAAACCCTCAAATTGATCATCTCGACCTCAAAATTCATAAACATGAAAAAAAAGGCATTTCTAATCCTAAAAAGAGTTCATCTTCTAACACATTATATGGACCATCAATTTTCAAGATTTTAAAGTGTTTATAGATTTGTTTGATCGTCACTATTTTTTAAACTTCAAATTTCATAATTGGAGGCAACAATAATTTTTCATATTATTGCAAGGCTTTATGGCATGAAATTGCATTTTCACCGTAGTTTTGAGGCATACCTTGCATGCAAGGCTTTATGGCATGAAATTGCATTTTCACCGTAGTTTTGAGGCATACCTTGCATGAATAGTATAAGGTTGACATCTTATACAAAACTCACCCTTAAAAATAAATAGTAAATAAACCTCGCAAGTACACCATTCCAGCCCTTAGTCCTCATATGGGGGGGTAGCCGCACCTACACTATAGACTCGTATGGTTGCACTTCAACTCCATTTTGCTCATAGATTTCAGGACCCAAAAACACTCAAAGAACACTTGGAACATGTTCTCCATTTCAAAATTAGATTAGGAGCTCTTAAAACATTCCCAACTTTGTTGATCACCCATTTGTTGAAATTAAATTATATGGTAAGATGACATTCAAGATGGAATATCTTTAAAGCTCAAAAAATCATTTTTTTTTAATCATAAAGGGTCGATTTGAGGAGTGAATGAAATACTCTCCACACGATCATGGTGCAGCCGCGGCCATATCCAACTATTTTACATGATCACATGGTGTTATGCTTGGAGCTATAATAGTTAAGATAGAGAAGTTGGCTCCCTTCATCATTCTTCCCCTCTTTAATAGAAAAAAATGTTTATACAAGGTGAGAACCTTAACTATAGAAGTAAGGTTGCAATAATTTATACGGCGACAATATAGATTTGACATTGTTTTTAAAAAAATACTAAATTTTAACATTGTTTTAGAAATTATATCAAATATGTACCGTCCAACTAAAATAAACGTTGTTGAACTTAACAGGGAGGATTTGAATAACTTGGAAGCTCCAATGCGAAGTGTCGACTAGTCCAATAGCATTAATATTTTGGGGTTCTCACTTGTTTCCCCAAAACTTACCAAAACTTATCTACTTCTACCAACCGAATTAGCTATATCCACAAGATATTCTACTCTTGCAGGAGTAAAATGTCTATTTACTCAATTGGGTAAAATTTCAAATAGAATTAATCTAAAATCCCAAAATTTGGGGATGTAATCTTTTCAACTCATAGTTTGACCTCAATAAAAAATATTCCTAATTGTACTTTCTATACACTTGAAAGTTGAACAGAGACCATCCCATGTTTAGATAGCGAAATCTAAGTGTTAGAAAACTTAAAATTTCATATTTTTAGGAATAAGCATTTAGTAAGTGTTAAGTGGTTCCCAAAATATCAGATTAAGAAAATCCTACCAATAAGTCTTCTAATCGAGGGACTAGAGATCGTGTTGATGTGTTCGATACATAGGGCTGGATTCCATCATAACATCCCTGAAAGAAATATTTTTTCTTTTTTGACATGTTAACAGTAGGAATGGATGGTGGGATGTTATATTGAGATATCGGTCCCTCTAACCACCAATGTCCCCACTCCATTCGAGAGTGGAGTTTCCAACTGGGCTGGCATGTGGCCTTTCCATTAGAGAGAGACTTCATAGAGCCCGGGCTGGCATGTGGCCTTTCCCGTTGGGCCAAGTTTTCGGTGATGTTTGGCCCACATAATAAGGCCCGCAGGCAACGATTGGTGGGGTTAATGGGCCGGAGGCATTTTTGGGCCGGGCCCTCTTAGGGACAGGGCTAGCACCGGCCCATGCTGAAAATAGCACTGGCCCATCACAAAAATATTTAATCTTATAACTGGCACCGGCCCGGCCTCCTTTACACATTTTCTGGTCAGACTTGGGCTTGGGCTGGCCTGATTTCAAACTTTGCCTCCCAACCGCCCCTTTAGAATAGAATTTATATGCCCAAAAACATTAGACTTGGGTGCCATCCACCCCAACAAACTGAAATTGAGAGGGAGGACTTTGTTTTTTTTTTTTTTGGTTGAGTAGAGAGAGAGATGAGAACTATTGAATGCCGTATCTGGCTTTCAATAGTCAAATAGTAATAGGACACGGTTACTCTGCAGCCAGCCGCTTGGCAATAAATATATTTTTTTAATATAATTTGATCTTAATTTTTAAAAAATATATAATCTTTAACATAGAGATCATAATTATAGTTTTTTTGTTTTGAAAACTAGAAATAATAATTATATCAAAAAAATATTTAGACGGTTACTTACACTTGTTTTAGATGGACCACCTATCTTTAAAATGGATGTTTTATACCTCTGGTCCACATATTATAGAAATGAGATCCAACTCCGCATGAAACAATTTTCCTTACAAATATTTAGAGAGAGAAAGAAGGGAATAGAGGACTAATAAATGGAGTACCTTGCTTGTAATGGTCAAACAAGTAGAGCTTCAAATAGATTCTTGATGTGATCAATGTGATTGGTTCCCACCATAACATATTTTAGTGAGAGAAACATTAAAACAAAAAACATATTTTAGAGAGAGAGAGAGGCCATCTCTCATCACATTGTAGCCATAAAATCACATGGAACTTGCTTTTGGTCACGTGCATTGTGACTAAAGTCATTAAAATCTTTTTCCCTACCCCCAACAAAAATACCATCATTCTTTAATAAAGTGGAATAAGGGGATGTCAAGGAATTTAGGTGCGGTTCTTATTTTGACCTAGATTTATAACAAGTGAAAAATATTCAATACTCCTTTAGGAGCATACTGTCCATTTACTCCGTCCAACAATCCCCACCCTAGTATTTTTTTTAGGAATGGAAATTTTGGAATCTAAATATTTAAATCTAATGACTAACCTTTGAAATAAAAAAAAAAAATCATGTTCCAAGTGTCCGACAAGAATAATATCCCAATATTGTATATGAAATGTCTAAATTTTGAATGACAAGATCTAATTGTTGTAGAACTCAAAATTTAAACATTTTTTTTTTCTTTAAAGAAAAAAGAATAAAGATTGGGTAATTCAAATGGATCCCAACATTTAAGATAAAAAAAATCCCCCATGCATCCTGTTTCCTCAACAGAGCATGTGTAGATATGCTTGCTTTCGAACATACTATAAACAACTTATTTGTAAGTACTTAAAATAGGTGGTCCAAAATAAAATAGACTGTTTTTAGGGCTGAAATTCATTTTTATAAGTTATATGATTGTGAAAGTCAAAGATAATGGCGGAATTTTTATGGCATTGAAACTTCATTGTTGCCTTGGTGAGTGAGATAGCAATTTCTTTGGCAGCAACAATTCATTTTAGGGTGAGATTTGTACTTTACAAAGCTTAAGCTGCCCCACAAAATACTTTGCCACTAGGATAAATAATTTATAAATTGGAGCTGCTCTCAATCTGAATAATAAAGGTAATAAGTCTAGCATCCATCTAAACCCTGCTGGAAGATGCAGTTCTAATGACTAAAGCCATGAAGATGTCTTGAAACTATATTTCCATTGGTAACTATAAAGTCTGACGATCAAAATATAGTGCGAATGAACGCATCTATTTGAAAATCTTCAAATTGGATGGTCTGGATAATATGTTACAAAATATACTATTTGAAGAACTAAATTCATTTCTATCTCATATCTATACATTAGAAATCGAGATGATCAATTGGAAGGTTTTTCAACATCAAAACAACTTTCTCGATAAATTTTTTTGAGTACACATTGTTTTTATAGTATAAAATCGACACCTCATATAAAGCTCATTTAATCAAGGAAAAGTTTCTATAAGGTTGCAACCTTATAATGCAGAATCACAGATGTCTATTGGAAATGTTGTTTTAAAGTTGAAAAGACCCTCTAATCGATCATCTCGACATCAAGATGTATGAATATGAAAAAAAAAAAGTTTTTGAATCTTGAAAATAATACATCTTGCAACACATTATCTAGACCGTCTATTTTCAAGATTTTCATATATTAGGTATGAAAATAGATTTTAAGATAATACTAAGAATTTTTTACAACAAAATTACATGTAATGATAAAATTTTAAGATTCGCTTTAATTGAATTGTTTAAGGTTGCAACTTTATAGAAACTGCACCCTTTAATCAAATTCTTTTTCAAATAAAAATAAGTAACATGATTGAGAATTGAAGCCCATTTCCACACAAATTACTCATAGTGGGCGGTGGTCTTCCAAATAGACGCATGAGACACAATTATGTGTGTCCATTTGGAGTGAATGATTTTGTCCACCTTCTTATGTCCCCCCAAATAGTCCTTAAATGATTAGGGGTTTGGACTAAAGAGGCTTCACTTTGGATAAGGTCGAGTTTTTAGGGCTCGATCCTCCCAAATAAGCCCTAATTTTAGGCCTGACTCACCCTATGCGGTATTCAAGGCATTGGATTCTCACCAATATTTCCATTATTCAAACCTAAATTCTCGCTTCTTTTTCGTCTTCAAGTATTCGAAGCATTCGATTCTCACCAATATTTGTGTAACTCAAATCTACATTTTCGCTTCCGCTTTGTTCACACCCGAGCAACGTTGTCCACACCCGAGCATCGTTTCACCACCGATGCACTTAGATATAGCCAAATAATAGTAATATATTTCCCAAGTTGCATCCAAAAATAATCCATTGTAATCATCCATTTCCAAGTAATATATTTCACCAGTGATATATTTTTTAGAGAATACATTTCCAATTAACCAAATGACGCCAAAATACCAGCTCAAACGTGAGTTTTTAGGGCTGGATTGTTCGGCCCTGCCCTAAAAACTTCTCCTTTCGAAACAGGACCATATGCCAGCATACTCTCTTTTTCCATACCATTGAAATTACAGTGAAATACCCTCTCTCCACACCATTAAAAATTGTAGCCCATTTAATTATTTTGGAAGCTCTTTACTACAATCCTTAAAAAGGAGACAAAAATTACAATCCTTAAAAATGATACAAAAAATAATTTACCCAACATTAATTCCCACTCTGAAGTCTCCAATCTACCCTTTATTTTCAAAGGCAATATTCTCTCTCTAACCGCATACAACCCAATAAGGTTTTCTTACTGGATCTGCACTTCTCCTTTTCTCTACCATCTCAACGCCACACACACCGCCGGCCCTTTCCAGGCCGGTGGCAAGTCTAACCCCCTCCGCCACTCCCCCGTCCGAGTATCATACACAACCACCACCCTCCCTCCGTACACAACCCACACCCTCCCCTCAACGCCGCAGCACCCCAACCTCGCCCCTCCTTCGACCCTAAATTCCATCCCTACCCTCCCCCACTCCCCTCTCTCTCCCCACCTCCACAGCGCCACTCCCACCCCCTCCCTGACCACCAAGTATACACAACCCCCCGATACACAACCCGACACTACACAACCCCCCGCTGGCATCGCCTTCCTCCCCACCCACTCTCTCCTCTCCACATCATACACATCCATCCTGTTCACGTACCCCCACCCCTCCCATACACACCCCCCGCCCCTACCATACACAACCCCCGCTCCCCTCCCTCCCGAAACCCTAGAACTTCCTGAACGCTGCAAAAACCTAACCCTAGAGCTCTCAGAAACCTCTGCAACATTGCCTCTGGAGCTCTCTGGTTCCTCTGAAACCCTTACCCTAGAGCTCTCTGATTCGTCTGCAACCCCAAGCCTGGCCGGTCTTGCCTTGAGGCTGAGCCCGCCTATCACGTAGAAGCACTTTCCGATGGCCAGGCCGACACAGCCATAGCGAGGCTCTGGTAACTCGCCGATCGCCCTCCACTTGTTCGTCAAAGGGTTGTATTCGTCCACACGCTTTGCGCACGAGCCAGAGCCGCCGGCCACATATACCTTGCCGTTAATGGAGCAGGCGGCGAACCTCTTTCTTTTACAGGGCATGGGTTCGCACGTACGGACACGACCGGACCACGGGTCGTAGCTGAGAACGCATCCATCCGAACCCAGGACTACAGCTCGGCGCCCTACCGTCACGACCACCGCCGTGCCATTCACGAGCCCGCCCGAGCCACGGGGCTCCATCTGGGTCCATGGGCTCGAGGGCTCAGTGCAAAAGGCCGCCATGCTTAGGGCTTGATCAAAGGCCCATGCGCCCTCTCTCACCAGGCCTAGGGTTCGGCGTAGCTCGAAATAGGCCTCTGAATCCATGATTTCCGACCATTTTTTGCAGACGGACATGGCGTATTTGAGCGATGAGCGGTCTAATCTGGCCAAGCATTCTATGACGATATCATCTGGCAAGGCTGAGAAGGCCTGGATTTTGTGGTTTTCCAGTGAGGTTTGGTGGTTTTCAGGCTGGTTTCTAGGGTTCCTTGGCCGCACTGGTTCGAAGAAGGCCGGAAAACGGTTGTTTTCTGGCGACGTTTCCGGCCAGCAAGACTTTACGAGCTTTGAGAAACCCCCCTTGGAGTGACAGCGATCGGCCTTGCAGGCCATGGCTTTGCGTTGCTCACTCAGTGGACGTGAAAGCATATAACAGGCGATTCTTAAATCTAGTTTAATGGGATTTTACGTCCGTGGTCTAAATTACTGAAATGCTCCTTGATGGGCCCTCATTATTTTCGTGGAATGCCCGGAGTGCCCTTGCCCCTCTTGAAATAAGCCGAAAGATTTAGTGCTCCCGCGGGATTACTGTCCAAATACTTCGTCTCCCAATTTACAAGAATTATTAGGACTTCAAAGATTTAATCTCTTCAATATATAGACTAACCTCAATAAATCAAAATATTCATGAGAGATTAACAACATTTTACCCATTTGTAAAAATTCCCATTCAAGATCATGTTTTTTTTTTATGGGTATTTTGAAACTAAATCGAAAGATAAATGTAAAGGTATTAAATTGTTCATATTTATGAATAATTTGATCGATTTTTTGTAAAAATATTATCTCAATATTGTGTAGAAACTTTAAATTTTCGATGGCGAGATTAATGTATTGCGCTTAGAAGGAAAATTGATATAAATATTCATGGGAGATTAACTATTTAACATTCTACCCATGTGTAAAAATTCCCATTCAAGATCATGTGTTTTTTTATGGGTATTTTGAAAGTAAGTCAAAAAACAAAAGGCAAAGGTATTAAATTGTTCATATTTATGAATAATTTGATCAATTTTTTGAAAAATAATATCTCAAGGTTGTATAGAAACTTTTTAAATTTTCAAGGGGCGAGATGGAGAACTCAAATCCTTTTTTTTCAGATAACAATCTAGTGATTTATTGGGTTTTTTAAATTTCAAATTTTAAATTGAGAAATCCTCCCTAATAAGTCTTGTGCCTGAGATAGTAAACATATAATATGCTCCACGCTCTCTCTCATGAGAAGGTGGCTTATAGACTTAATGGTGATGGATTTTGATAGGCCATGGTAGTCTAAGGAGAGTGGCTTTGAAATTTTTATCTTTTTATGTAAAAAAATAGGCTTTGAATTTCTTGTTCTTTGGGGGAATAAAGGGACTTCCCATTCTCACTAAAATAACAAGCGCAAGCCTGTGGGACGTTAAAATATTGAAGGAGAGAGAAGGCCCTGGAGAGAGACTCAAGGGCATCTCTTGAGAGAGAAAGTGGATAAGAGAGAGAAAGGTGATCAATGACAGTTGGATGAAAAATAGGGGTGGCAATGAACCCGGACCCGACCTGAGACCCAAGGGTAGGCTCGATCCTGGTCTGGGTATGGGTATAAAAATTGGACCCAACTGGTCGGGTCTAGGTCCAAATCTTGGACCCGAACATAAGTCGGTCCAGGTCTCATATCATTTTTTAAGTCTGGGTCCAGGTTTGGCCGAACCCAGAGCTGACTGACCCGTTGTCACCCCTAGGATCATAGCAGCGAATAACAATATATTGGTAAACCTAAAGGATTACTAATAAATCAATTTATTACAAAAAATTAGAGGCAAAAAATTAGGTAAAAAATATCTAATAAATCAATTTATTACAACAAATTAGAGGCAAAAAATTAGGTAAAAAATATAGATAATCAAATATTAAGTGAGTTAAAGTATTGTGAATGTTTCAAATTTGACTAAAGAAGACAAAGTGACAAAATCGAATACGTAAAGATGATATATGATAAGATTATGATTTGTAGTTAGTGCATGGATACATTAAAGCTATTGAACAATAATTTTATCTCCTTATGTAGTATCTTTAAAGAAATATTTAATAATATTTTATCTAAATTTTCGATAAATACAACTACAATGTTTACCGTATTATCACGACACAAAATATATAATAGATTTATTGGGAGTATATAATGAAACCACAATACTGAAAATAAGAACTATAATAGCAAATAACAAGAATTGCAATCTAATGTATACGTGTATTGTTAGAAGAAAAATAAAAAAAACTTACTATCAATATAGGATTGCAGTTAACTAAAATATGAAACCCAAAAATGTAAAATAGTGGTCCATCCAAATACTAATACACCAATAAATACTTTATAATACACCAATAAAATGGCTCAAAAGTTTCAAAAGTTTAAATTAATCAAACTTCTTTATATAGAAAGAAAATAACGAAATGTTTAAGATTATCCAAATATTCGAATCTCACATTGAATTTCTAACTATCTAAAGTTTTAGTTGTCACTGATCTCTCTTGCTATTTTGCTATTTATATTGATCCTTTGGGTTAAGAGAAAAATGTGATTTTTCTTTGAGTCAAACTCTACATATTGTATTGAGATGTACGGTTGAAAGATTATTTTTGGGAATCTATTACTCGTGTTTTTTTAACACAATTCTTTTAAGAAAATGTTTTATGGATTTTTTTAATCAAAATGTTTTAGGTAGTCCCACTTTTAATGTATTTATTTCTAAACTAAAGATGATAGAAGTTTCAATGAAATTATTTGGAAAAAGACATATTGAAAAGTCTATTTGAAAAAAATATAATATACATATTTATATCGGTTTCATTAAAAAAAGACGTTTTTTTTAAGATCTTTTGAAAAATTCAATAATCTTAATAGATTTTAAAAGACGTTTTTACAAAAAAATATGCTTTAAACGGAGACTTGCTAACTATGGATTGGATCATATTTCTTTTAGAGAAAGTATATAATGAGACTATCTACCTTTGGTACAAGGCGGTTACAATTAATCTTGACCATTGGATTGTGAAATTGGGTGACTGTATTTATTTCATTGACCAAGTTCAAAGTTCAAAAATAATTTTCTCGAAATTTGTGACACACCCAAGCTATCAGATTTCATACTAGATGGTTGAAATTAATTGTGATCTCTTTGAATCGAAGGTAAATGATCTCATTGTATACAATTCCTTTCTTTTAACAACGGGACAATTTGGAAGGGAGGCATTCACAAGTATTGTCTGCTAGGGGACTATAAATCTACATGCAAGGGTTGACAACAGGCCTGGCGAGCTCTAGCTTGCCTGAGCCTAATCCATATCCTAGAGGTAGCGGTGGCAATTGGGTTGGGTTGACCTGAACTGATACAAGATCCGAGTCCGAGTCCATGTTTTGGATGCGGCTAGTCGGGTCTGGATCCCAATTACTTGAAACCAACCCAGGGTCTAGCATGGACTCCCATTGAGTCAGGTCAGGTCAAATCGACCAATCTGACCCGGTTCAAGCTGTGGGTGATACCTAGTCTGGTCATTCAAGTCTGGGTCCGGGGGGACCTAGACTCTAACCCAAACCCAAGCCGACCTGATGCACCTGGAGGGCTGGCCTAGATCGGGCAGAACGTGTTTGTCCTCTAGGGTGAGGGGCTTTTTTGTGAAAGTCCTCAAGGTTGAGGGGCATTTTTGTGAAAGTTATTAACAATAAATAAATAAATAAATTTAAAGCTCAAGGGAATGCTTTGAAGCCAAGGAGACATATTGATAATATATTTTATATGAGGCCATGCAGAAGAATCAATCCACACTCTTTCTAGATGTCTCATTCCCACAAACAAATTCAACCTTTTATTCAATCTGTGTTTTTCTCAATTCCATTACTTATTTTATTTCATTTTTATTCCTTTTAACTGACAAAGTGATTTCATTTAAGATAATAAAACTAAAAAGGGGAAGAATAATCCATGATCTTGCATTATTAAATGGATTTTAATAATTTTCAAATATTGTTCCCTTTTGTTCTCGTGTGGCTTACTCAATCCTCACCCCATGTGCTTAGTTGTGTAGGCAAATTAAAAATAACTCCATCAATATTTTAGAAATGGAGATTTATGTTGCCGAGAGTGCTTTCTCGACGAGGATTTGTAGTAACGTTTTATTTTGTTTCATAAAGCCTAGGATAGAAACTTGATCCTTATTTATGACTAAATATTATAGCTTTTTATTATATAAATAATGGGAAATCATTAATGTCTACCACCAGCATAAAACCACTAATTCCAATTGCCCATTCTTAACGGATGGCTATGGTAGCTTCAATAACAAAGCCACATCTAACAAGCTTATATTTTTAACTCACTCTGAAAATCATTTTGACAAGACATTTTATGAGTGCTTACTAGGACTACAAAAAAAAATAAAAACCATGTTTTTTAAATGATTAAAATACTCTTATAAATTACAAGGGTAATTCGTTTTCTTTTATTGCATAAAATAAGTTTCTCATTTTGTTTTTAGGTGCTCCAAGCGAAAAGAGAGCATACCCCAAATTCATTTCAAAAGGATTTGTACAAAATAATTAAAAATCAAATACCCTAAGCAATCTGATCAAGATCAGACGCTTGAGGCAAGCTTGTGACGTTATGATTAAATCTATCTCAACTGTCCATTCAAATTGGATGAAACGATTCAAATCCAATGGGTGAAAATTGTCCACATATATGTTATATATGTAGGTGGTGCCGCTTCTTACAATTTCCTGATATAATTTCCATATTTGCATGAAATGAAACTGGGATGGAGAAGTGATAAGAGTTGTATGTAGTATGACAAAATAGCTTGAGTTTGTTTTTTGAGATGATCCCTTCCACAAGTTCTAATTTTTCCATAGAGCCAAATTTATTAAGGGATTGTACGAGATCATGTACCTATTGTACAAGGAGGTCACAATTGCTTATAATCATTCGATGTGAAATTTAATAATTTAAATGTGTTACAAAGTTCGAGAAAATTTCTTTTGAACTCTATGCTTGATCAATGGAATAGATGTAATGCCCAATTTCACATCCAAAGGACAAAGATTAATTGTGAGCACCTTATACAAAAGGTACATAGTCTCAATGTATATTTTTCCATTTATTAAAGTGTCAATGCATATGAAAAAGCGATACATGATGCCATACAAAAAAAAAAAACATCCGGAGGCCAATCTCCTCTCTAAGGTTTAGGGGCCGACATCTTTATTCTTATATTTCCATTCTTCTTCTTTCTTTTGGGTAGTTCAGTAGGGAAGGTTCATCTACCTGTGATAGGAATAAAACTCCAATGTTAAAAAAAAAAAAAAGGAAATGGTTGTGACACTCTGCCACCTTGACCACCTAGCCTCGAGCACATCTTTAGCCTTAAGTTCATTTGTGATGCAGCCTAGCTAGGTGCAAC